GGATCGGGGGTCGTGTTCTGAAGAACTGAAATGTCCACCTGGCAGACATCTTCTGCTTCATTTCCCAGTTATCCCTACTCCCTACCCATATAGGTTCCCCTGTCTTTGGAAGGACTCAATACCTAAGACTCAAATGTTACGACCCGTCATAACATAAAGAGGACAGAATACAAACTGTGTTTCAAATTAGAAAATATAATTTTATTTAAAGTTAAAAATATTAAATAATGATTTTATTTAAAGTTTAGGATTCTTACCAGAAATAAAGAAATTAAGAAAAACCGGGGTAGGGATATAACACCTCCACCAAAAAAAATAATCTGGATTATTTAATACAAAATAAACATACCCCCCAAATTTTGAGGAAAAATAAATCTCCAATCAACTCATACCAAAATAAAAATAAAAGATACCTACTCATTTAATGGGAGTTTACCAGCCAGGAACATGGCATGACATTACATCACAATCATTTATTACTCCTCAACCGTAGACTAGGGAGTATGGCCTAACTCTCCAATGGGATGCTTGTTTTCATTTTTTTTATTTTTTATTTTTAAGTTTTGATGCTTGTAATTTATGGATCTGACAGCTTTTTACAGCTTTTTTGCTGTATACTGGCAAATGCTGAGAGCTTGTAGTTGGAGGTCTGGGTTTTTATTTAGGTCATTTCCAAGACTCCTACATGTGCCTCCGCAACTTGAACAGACTCAATAAGGCTGTCACTGCTGCCACTATTTATCCTTTTTTTTCTATAAGCACTGACACTCACCCCTTATTGGTTTGAGAAACTGTCAGCCTTTTTTAAAGGCTTTTATACAACAGTTATTTCTGTCTTTTTGAAAACTGTCTTTTCAAACATTGAAAAGAACTTCAGCAAGGCCTGCACTACATCTGCATCTGCATCTTCCTTAAAGGAATGGCCTCTGGAAAGCGAGTGGAAGCACACATAACCATCAATAAATATTGGTGGCCACGTTTGGTTTTAGGTTATGGACCAACACAATCCACCAAAACTCTATCAAAAGGCTCTTCAAAAGCTGGAATAGGATGCAAAGGAGCAACAGGTATACTTTGGTTGGGTTTACCGGTTATCTGGCAAATATGGCATGTCTTACAATAAGATACTACATCTTTTTTTAGATCGGAGCAATAGAAATTCTGCGATATACGATTATAGGTCTTATTTATGCCAAGATGTCCTGCCATGCTACCGTCATGAGCTAGTTTGAGAATTTCTTTATGAAAAACCGAAGGTGCCACGACCTGAAAGACATTGCACCACTCATCTTGTCCAGATAAAGATTGGGGACGCCACTTTCTCATTAGTACACCATCCTTCCGGAAAAACCCAGACGACAACTCATGCATCTCTTGCTCAGTACTCAGCTCATCAAACAGAGAAGATAAAGAAGAGTCTTTACTTTGCTCAGAAATGAGTTGATCCCTTCTAACTAATGATTCTTTGTAAGGAATCTCCTGAAGTGTTTCTAACTCTTTACCTATCCCTATTTGAGGATCAACAGGCACAACTTTATCGCCATCCTTTCACATTCCCCCAAAAAGGTATCAGCCAAATTAACGTCCATACCCCCTTTATTGGTGGATTTAGTCTGTTTAGACATAGCACACGTCACTGCACATACTGGGAAAACATCAGGGAAAGACTGAGACAGCTCATCAAAGCTCTCATTTGACATAGGCACTTCAGTAACTTGAGGGCTAGGTATAACTTTGACTCCAGCCAAAATCGTTGCCCAAAATGAAGGAAACCCCTTCAATTGGCAAAGAAGGTAGTACCCCTACTACTACCGGACCAGAAACCAAGGGTGACTTTATCACAATGTGATGTAGAGGGGCAAAACCCATTTCAACTCCTCTTACCAACACCTGAGCTCCTGTATCAGTCTGATCAGATAGAGGTAAAATCCCCTGAAGTAGTAACGATTGCGCAGCTCCTGTGTCCCCGAGAATACGCACCGGAACACAACAGTCATGCCCCGACAAAGACACAACTCCAGTTGTTAGAATAGGAGTATAATCGGTGGAACTATCACTACCTTCTAAGTTTTCACACTTCAGAGAATGGTGCACAAAACTCATCACTTGTCAAAAGGGGAATTTGGCATGCAGTGGCTAACCCAAGTGGCTTGGTAGATTTCGCTTTCTTATTGAGAACAAAACATTCAGATATCTTGTGCCCTGGCTTTTTGCAATAAAAACAAATAATATTTGCCCTAGCAGGAACTGCCTCATGTTTACTGGGAGAGGTTGGAACAGAACTAGTTCTACCAGAAAGACTCAGGAGATAAATTGAAAAGCAGTATACATTTATTGTCAGCTCAGCAAGCATAAATTTATGAGTTCTTTGGCGTAGGCCCCATCCTTAGCGAGCATAACGAGGTTAGCCGAATCTGCATGTCCCACCTGAGATGAAGGCGGGGGCGCAGCCGACCCCCTGGAGGTGAGGAAGGGACCATCCTGGTGGTGGTGGTGGGGAGGATGGAGGGGATGGTACCATCTTGGTGGTGGTTGGGGAGGATGGAGGTGAATGGCAGCATCAGCATCTGCGAACTCAGACAAGTGTAATAATAATGTGTTCGAATAATTATGTGGTGCGACGCGGCGCTGCAGCTTCTCGTCCGGTATGCGACCCCCTTAACGTTAATTTTGTGAAACTGTAGCTGTGGTTGAATACTTACACAACATGAAAAGATGTGTCAAATGTACATTAAATTGATTTTTTATTTTGATAAAGTTACCAAAGAGGACCAGCCACGTCAAATCCTTGCAAGAGACCTGCCCCTTCAAACCCTCTCCACCATAGCTTCGTCCAGTGACTCGTACAGTAACATCTGTGATAACTAATTTACTTTTAAACCTGACTTTTCTTGTGCGGTTATTTCAGTTTAATGAAAAACAAGCATGTCATTAAACGCAACGTTTATAGAAATCGAACTTTACCTCATCCATGACAACTAATTTTCGATTCCCGTCTGACTGATTTATCCACGGTGGAGTTGAAAACAACAGTTCCCATCATTCCGCGTTTCTCCACGTCGTCATCAAGCAAAGCCATTGTTGTTGTTTTGAATGTAGCGCCCTCTAGCGGCATCTAAATCTTAGGTATTGCAGCTTTAATATTAAGTGCCCCCAACTAAGCAAGCCAGAGGCAACAGTGGCAAGGAACCCAAAACTCCATCAGGAGAAACCATTATGTATTAATACAATTTATTATTTTGGTGTGTCATGCAATTTGGTATACAATAATTAAAATAATTATGATGATCATTAAATCATGAATTTTTTTAACAACTGCCAGGAAAAATAAACATTAACAACATTTATTTATTATTTATTATTTTTACAAACAGACTAATACATTGGAATGAATAAAACATATTCTATGAAATATCTACAGGTGATTTTATAAAATATTTTTGAATTATCCAGCTAACTGTAAAGATATTACTAATATGATGTTTCCTTCTGTTCTTTAACAGCAATGGACAGTTTTGTTCAACAAACTCATCAACTGGAATCTTGAGTGCCTCATTGAAAAATTTGCTGGTAAATATGTGATGAACAATTTTGAATTTCAAATTCTCTTTCTTTGTTGGTAATCTTTTTTCACAGTTGCATCCAGTGCCAGCCATCGTCATTTACTCACCCTTATGTTATTACAAACCTGAATGACTTTCTTCTCCTGAACACAAAAGAAGATATTTTGAAGAATGTTGGTAACAAAACAGTTAACCGTAGCCATTGACTTTTATAGCCTAGTACTTTTTTCCTATTATGGAAGTCAATGGCTACCGTCAACTGTCTGGTTACTGTCATTCTTTAAAATGTCTTTTTGTGTTCAGCAAAAGAAAGAAACTTGTACAGGTTTGGAACAACATGATGGTGACTAAATGAGGTGAGTAAATTTGACATGAGGCTAGTAAATATAGCATTTTGAAGGTGAACTATCCTTTTAATAACACTAAATGTTTTCAGATTACCAGAGTACATGTTTAACGGTTACATATTTAAGCTAATTTCAGTCATTCTAAGTTGACCTTAGTTGCTTAAATGCACTTTGCTTAATTTGAAAGGTGATGAATTAACAAGTTCTCATTTGCCTTTTATCTCTACTTAGATTCGAAAGGCATACTAGCACTTAAAACCTTGCCTGTCATTCTTCCCCCGCCTGTGTACAAGATTGGCCACAAAACCTTTCGGCCAACTATTCAAGAGGCAAGAACCTCATTCATTGATGTACAACCTGTAAGTAAAACAACATTTCTTTACACCTGTTTGTAGGGCTGCACGATAAATTGTTTTAATCGTGATCATGGTTATTGCTGATTGGACACGCGTTTCATTTTCTCACAACTCTTCAAGTTAAAGGGATAGTTCACCCAAAAATGAAAATTAAGTCATTAATTATTCACCCCCATGCTGTACCAACCCCGTAAGACCTTCGTTCATCTTCGGAACACACATGAAGATATTTTTGATTAAATCTGAGAGGTGGATCACTCCTCCATAGACTGCCTAAGGGATTGAAACTTGACGGCCCAGAAAGTCATTGAAGAAAATGTTTAAATATTCCATGTGACTACAGTGACTTTATTCGACTATTCCTTTTCTTCCTTGTGGGCCTGAGACGAGAGTTCAAGAGATTTCCACGACGCATGCGCGAGAACTGAGAAGAGGACGTTCTTCTTCTACTACTTCTTGTTCAGTTCTCGAGTATGCGTCGTGGAAATCTCTTGAACTCTCGTCTCAGGCCCACAAGCATTTTCTTCAATGACTTTCTGGGCCGTCAAGTTTCAATCCCTTAGGGAGCCTATGTAGCAGTAATCCAGCTCTCAAATTTAATCAAAAATATCTTCATTTGTGTTCCGAAGATGAAAGAAGGTCTTACGGGGTTGGTACAACATGGGGGTGAGTAATTAATGACTTAATTTTCATTTTTTTAATTTAAGACGTTATTTAACTAATTTAAGAATGCTCTTATGAAAACCTAAGACACACTTTTAAAGAATTATCTGTGTCTGATATTGTCATTCCCTCATTTAGTCTGGAACCAACATGGTGCTTTACGGCAGAAAGAAGCGAAACCCTTCCCCTTTGTCTTGGAGCTTGGAATTGCGGGACAGTTTTTTGTGGTGGTGAATGGGGAAGCTCTGGAACAGGTGACTCTCCTCAAGGCATTGGATGTTTGTTTCAAGGCATTTTATTGCTTTGACATTCACTATCCGAAACAATGTGCCCCTGTTTGGGAATTTTTGCAGCAAGTAGTGTATGGAATGCCTGGGACAGAAAATTCAAGCATACGTTTTTTGCGGGCCTCCATTTTTGCTGCAGAGGACTAAATGATTAAATGACTAAATGAGCTATTTATCTGTAAATTTTTCTTTCATTTTTGTTTTACATTTTTGTGAAGAGATCCTTTAGCTATTTATTAATCTTTAATCTTAAATCCTTCAAGTATACCGTTTTCACATGTCTCCCATTTTTGCTGCACAGGACTAATTGATTGCTTATTTAAATGAATTTCAAGTATGTAAATAGGTTTTATTTCATTGTAATTTTTTGTGAAGAGAATCTTTAGCTAATTTACAGTGCCTCCCATTTTTGCTGCACAGGACTAATTGATTGCTTATTTAAATTAATTACAATGTACTTATGGGTTTTTTATTGTAATTTTTTGTGAAGAGAATCTAGCTATTTTGCACAGTTTATACGCAACGTTTTTGTGTCTCCCATTTCCATTTTTGATGCACAGGACTAATTGATTCTTTATTTAAATGAATTTCCAGCCCGTTCTCATCCTTTAACGTCATATAGAGCGCTATATGACAAAACGGCGCTATACTACGCACATGGCACCCGTTATCGTTAATATAACACGCGAACCCAAGACGTTATAAATCCTTTAGCGTGAATATGACACGTACACCCTACCCCACACCTAAACTTAGCCCTCACAGCACGTGTTATATTAACGATAACGGGTGCCTTTAGCGTAGTATAGCGCCGTTTTGTCATATAGCGCTCTATATGACGTTAAAGGATGAGAATGCGTTGGAATTTCAAGTATGTAAATATGTTTTATTTCAGTGTAATTTTTTTGTGAAGAGAATCTTAAGCTATTTTGCACAGTTTATACAAGTTTTTATGTGTCTCCCATTTTCATTTTTGATGCACAGGACTAATTGATTGCTTATTTAAATGAATGTACTTATGTGAAGAGAAGAGAATATTTAGCTATAGGCTATTTTACAGTTACTAAAGTTTTTATTTTGCTACACAGGACTAAATGATTGCAATGTGTATTGTTTGTTTTGAATTTTGAGAATCTTACCATTTTATAATCTTTTAACATACCAACATTTTAGCACAAATGATTTTTGTGGGCCTCTGTTTGTGCTGCAAATGACTAATTGTTGATTAAACATGAATGTATTTATGATCGTATTAATTTTCTGGAATAAACACTTTAAGTGAATCATTAACAGTAGACAGTATTATTATTATTATTATTATTAATATTATTTTTGTTATTAGAATTTTTAGTATCTAAAATTAACCTGTAACATGGGGTTGTTTTACCCAGCACTGATAAAAAAAACAACCCAGCAAATGGGTTAATCTATAAAACCCAACCTGCTGGGTCAAAATAACCCAGCATGTGTTCTGTCCAATATTTACCCAGCGCTGGGTTACCAAATAACCCAAATTGGGTTTTTTTTTAACCCAGCATTTTTTAGAGTGTACAATGTCCTCCAACTTCCTTTTGGAGAAGTGCCTGTTTCAACAAAATTAGTCCATTTGGTCTCTGGGAGATCTTGCAGTGCTCTTAAATTTAAAACTTTTACACAAACCATATACAAAGACTTCTTAGATATCATATCAAAGAAACCGATTTCAGGTGTTGTAAAAGAAAGTAATCTTCCATCACCCTCCTGCCAATCTCCTACATTTATCCCCACCCTTATACTGGGAAATACATTCTCCACCCTTTCTTCTAGCAAAGGTAAGGCCATAACATACTCCTGTATCTCAGTTAAAAAATGTTCAACAGTCCGAAAAGAATGAATACCAACCTTCAAAGCTAATTCTTCTGCAGTAATCCATTTATCCCAAATTCGAAGATGACCTATTTTACATATTCCTGCTTTAACAAAACTTGCTCTTATTCCTTTGGATTGTAACATTCCATTGGAAAAGAGAGGATTAAAAATCAAAGGTTCTTCAAGCACCCAATCATAGGTTACCTCAGACAGCTCTCTTTTGACCATAAATATTTGCCACACATTAAAAACTGATGCATAAAAAGAAGTGAGTCCATTAAAATCCACTTCTTTCAAATTCATTAAAAACAGATGTTTATCCAAATTCATACGACCAACCCTTTTTAGTAACGCACAAGCTATATTTATCCAATTCTGAGGCTGACTATATAGGTGTCACGGGGAAAATCCAAGGAAGACGAGGAGGAAGGTATAATTAACAGGTAACTTTAATGATCGGAGCTCAGGAACAGGAAGACAGCGTGTAACACACAAACAATACCGGACAAGGGAGTGAAGACAGGCAGGAACTTAAATACACAGTGACGGTGATAACAGATGACAATCAGCTGTGCGGGAGGTGATTAGTGTCCATGGAAACAGATGAGGGCGGAGAACTCAGACGAGGGGAACACGTGGTGAATCAAAACACAGACAGTCCATGGGTGGTGACAGATCGCCCCCCTCCGGCAAGGCGCGACCTCGCGCCGTGGCAAAATGACGGAGGGGGAACCGGGGGAGGTTCAGGTGGAGGACGAGACGATGGTGAATCACAGACGAGAGGCTGGAGTGACGGAACGGTGAGGGGACGATGACGATTCCCTGGCGGCCTTGATGGGGATGGCGCGGTGGCGCAGACCCAGAGCCTCCCAGTACCGACAGCCGATGGCAGAGAAGACGGAGGGAAGAAACCAGATGGCGAGGGGACTGACGGTAGCTGGGGGATGACCGACGGAGACTCGGTGGCAGGATCTCTCGGCGCAGACGGAGAGCCGGTGGACTCAAGCGACGTCACCGGTATGGGAGACCCCGGTGACGTAGCGGCGACGAGCGCTGGAGCCGTAGCCAGAGTGCCCGAGAGCTGAGGTGGAGGTGGAGTGATGGAGGACAGAGGAGACGCCACAGGGAAGGAGGAGCCCGCTGAAGCCGAAGGGGTGGAGGGAACAAGCGTAGCAGACTGACCGCAAGTCCGTGGCGCAGGCAGAGTGACGACTGACCAAGGGGGAGCCGGCAGGACGAGGGAACCCGCTGCAGCCGATGTCTCGATGGTCTCAGGCGGAGGCGCAGGTGGGAGGAGCCGAGACGGAGCTGGCAGGTCGACTGACCGAGATGGAGTGTCGAGGACCGAGGCTGGAGGCGAAGCCGTGGGATCCTCGAACACAGGCGCTGCGGATGGTGGGCTGACCTGCCGCTCGACGTCGGGGACTCCCCACGGAGATGGTGCAGGGCTGCGCACATCCAGCAGCGGCGAGGCTGGAGGACTGACTGGGAACGGAGATGGAGTGGAGTGAATTAGACAGACGGCAGGACAGAAGTCGTCACAGGACAGTTCAAAATGAGAAAGAGATGCAGATGATGGGTGGGATAGGGCGGGAACGACATCCAGAGTCCTGGGTTTCATCAGCCAGTCCTCCAGTTCCAGGAAATTAGTCCCCTCGTCCGCAGATGTTGTGGGCTCACACCCCTGGTCAGACTCCTGTTGGAGCTCCTCCTCCGGGGCGAGGGTCAACTCTGTCCTCTTCGTCTCGGGCACTGGTTGACGCGTCGCGGCGGGTGGTAGCTCTCCGTCTGCGGGGGGCACGCACGAGATCTCCGCGGTCGAGGGTGGTGATTCCGGCTCTGGGTCTGGCAGTGTTCTGGATCGGGCTTCGACGCTCTCCAGACACCGGGAAACGGCCTCCTTCCAGTCCATGTTAGAGGTGTCTGGGAGGTCGAAGTGCAGGTGGAAGGTGGCCCCGATCCAGAACAGGGTCTTCAGGGCTTCGTCATCTAGGGGGCTGGAGAGTGCAAGTGAAACAAAGTCTCTTGAAAATGAAACAAAGTCCAGTGACACTTCCGCTAGGGAGATGAAATCAATGTTCATCTTGCAGTTTGGTCCGGTATTCTGTCACGGGGAAAATCCAAGGAAGACGAGGAGGAAGGTATAATTAACAGGTAACTTTAATGATCGGAGCTCAGGAACAGGAAGACAGCGTGTAACACACAAACAATACCGGACAAGGGAGTGAAGACAGGCAGGAACTTAAATACACAGTGACGGTGATAACAGATGACAATCAGCTGTGCGGGAGGTGATTAGTGTCCATGGAAACAGATGAGGGCGGAGAACTCAGACGAGGGGAACACGTGGTGAATCAAAACACAGACAGTCCATGGGTGGTGACAATAGGATTCTTTGTGCAATCTGTAGTCTAAACGCCGCAACTTTAGACTTGAGGTCCATCAGGCCTTGGCCACCCTCACTCAGCGGCAGATAAAGCACTGCTTCTCTCAACCAGTGTTGTCCGTTCCAAAAGAAATTAACTAGCATTCTTTGGATTTCCCTTATGAGTTCCTCTGGTGGATTTAGCACAATCAGTTTATGCCATAAAGTGGAGGCTGCAAGATTATTCGCCACCAACACTCTTCCTCTATATGAGAGTTGAGGTAATATCCAATTCCATTTTGATAACCTATTATAGATTTTATCTTTAATTCCTTCCCAATTTTTTCTTTGATAGAACTCTGAACCTAAAAAAAATCCTAAAAACTTAAAACCCTCCTTTTCCCATTTTACATTTCCTGGGATAATGGGTTTAGTAATGACATTACAGTGTTTTTTTTTATCATTGCACCAAAATGCTTCTGTTTTACTCCAGTTCATTCTCGCAGATGATGCTTTCTCATAAATGGAGATACTGTAAATAACAACATCAACATCTCTTTGATCTTTCACAAAAACAGTAATATCATCTGCATATGCTATTAATTTAAACCCATTGCATTTTCCATCAATATTTACCCCAGACAGTTCTTTTCTTAACAAAC